CCTACATAATGTGTATATATATATATATATATATATATATATATATATATACAAATTTTACGGATACCGATAATCCCTCTCGGTATAGCATAGGTCCGCCTCTGTATGGTACCCTATATAATTCACAATTAGATACTTTTAGGAGAATATTATTGATTTTTTTTTTCTTTGATGACTTGAGTTTGATGAGAATATCTGACACTAAATTTTATTTTAAATTTTCTTGCTACTCTACTTTTGTGTATACATCGATGTCACTTCGATAATAAGTTTGATAAGCTTAATAGAAGCAAATTGTAATAGGATTCTCGTTTCTTTTCTTTTGATTTTTCCTTTTGAATGGCGAATCTGTTTAGTCCTCTTGCACGACATTCGACATGTACTAAGCTTTAGCCCGTGGGTTCGGTCGAACTCAATAATACCTTTAGTTTAAACTCTATATTTATTTTAAATTTTTTATTGAAACTGTACAAATTATTAATTTAGAACCCAGTAATAACATCAAACGATTATAATTCCGAACCCATAAACTTGAAATTCGGGGTCGGCCTCTGCTTGTGGCACCACTTGCACGACGCACCATCGTTCCGTTGCCAAAAGCGAAGTTTTAGACGAAAGGCGTCCTTGCTATAAAGAATGCAACTATGTGATAATTAGAACACACCCTTTTCTGCTCTTCTTATCGTTGTGGCATGTTAATTTGGTAATGTGAGCATCAGTTCTGTCCAAATAGAATGGAGATCTTCCTCATCTTTGTATTCTTGTTTCTTTTCTACAGGTTCTTGTTGGCGAATATTGTTACAAGATGCCTCCTACGGGCACAAACCAATATTGCTATCGAACTTCACCTCCCCATATGTTTAGCAACCTTCCTGAGAATGTAATTGACGAAATTCTTATATGTTTGCCTTTTAAAGAAGCTGTGAGGACAAGCGTCTTGTCAAAGCAATGGAAGTATAACTGGTGCAGACTTCCTGAGTTGACACTTGACGGAACTATTTGGACAAGTAAAAAGGATTTTTTACTATTTAGTACTAGTGAAATTACGTATTTTATCAATCATATTTTGATACTTCATGACGGACCAATTACAAAGTTTATCCTCGATGTTCCTCGTATGATAAGTTGTCCTAAGATTGATGACTTGATATATTTCCTCTCTAAGAATGGCATTCAACATCTCGTTCTTAAACTTCCGTTATGTGGCCATAACAAATTGCCTTCTTCACTTTTCACATGTTTCCAATTGAGGCATCTAACTCTGGAAAACTGTTTAATACATCCTCCATCAGCATTCGATGGATTTGATAGGTTAATTAGCTTAGAACTACATGATGTCACAATATCGTCGAAATTTCTTGAAAGTTTAATCTATCATTGTCCGTTGCTCGAGCGGTTGGTGCTGCAAATCCCACAACATTTGAACGTTGTTGAAATTAAAGCTCCCAAGTTGATATCCTTTAAGTTCACAGGCAGTATACAGTTTATTACTTTAAAAGATGTCCCTCTTCTTGCAAAACTTTCACTTGTAGATACAGGATTTGTCAGGGCTGATAACTTTGATATTGCCAAATTTTTTGAGTCTTTTATTTCTGTTGAGCTTCTCCATTTGGATAGCGATAGTATCAAGGTAAATATGCTTCATCATTTCATTTGGTATGTATATTTACTGATGGAACATCTTTTGGGCTTCAAGTCATCCTGAATTTTCACGTTTTCTTCCTAGTTCTTTGCTCGAGCAGGTGAAGTTGTACCAAAAAGGCTTCCCTTTGATCTTAACTGTGTCAAACGTCTTTACCTATCTGAGATTTCTCTGAATGGATTCAAGGTCGTCGCATGTGCTCTTTGCTTGATTAGAAGCTTCCCATGTTTGCAATATCTGAAAATTCAGGTTTTTGACTTTCCGTTCTTCCTTATTTTCATTCTACTTTTTATGAAAGGGAGCCTTAGCCTTGGCGTAACTGGTAAAGTTGCTACCATATGACCAGGAGGTCACAGGTTCAAGCTGTGGAAACAACCTCTTGCAGAAATACAGGGTAAGGCCGCGTACAATAGACCCTTGTGGTCTGGCCTTTTCTTTCTTTTTTATTTTCATACTACTCTTTACGAAAGGTAACCTTGGCGTAACTGGTAAAGTTGATGTCATGTGACCAGTACGTCAGGGTTCAAGCCGTGGAAACAGCCTCAAGCAGAAATGCAGGGTAAGACTGCGTGCAAACCCTTATGGTCCGGTCTTTCCTCAAACCCTGCTCATAGCCAGAGCTTTGTGCACCAAACTGCCTTTTATACTACTTTTTATCCTCAGTAAGTTTAGAGAGATGGACTTATGGTAATCTTTATTAGGTGGATGAAGATGACGCTGATGATAATATTTGGGGAACTCTAAAATGTCTTAAAGTGGAAGCTTTCTCAGATATGACATTGAATCACCTCAAGGCAGTTAAGCTTATAAATATATCAGGAACAAGGCCTGAAATGCAGCTGATGAAGCTTCTATTGGCAAAGTCTCCAGCGCTGGTCAAAATGGTAATCGACCCCCACTATGCATTGAATGGTAGAATATATGTCAAAGTAAAGGCAGAGATATCAAAATTCCAGCGGGCGTCATCTAAAGCAGAAGTTGTATATGATGTAGATTACTATTAGTATCCCCGATTAATCAGATCATGATCTTTGGCTACACTTACTTTTATCTTTATTGCTTACACAAGTCATGTGTTTTTATTAGGGTTTTGGGGTTCTGTAGAATTTTGAAACCAAGATTGTATTTTTATATACTGGGTATAACTAAATCAGCTTAAATTGAATTTGGGTTTTGCTTTAAACTTGATGGGGTTATCATGATTTGCTTCACTTGAATTTAGAGAGAAATTAGGACTCCTACAAACACATATATAGTGAGAGAGAATCAACAGGAGTGGAAATTTTCATTCAACAAGTCAAAAATGAAACTCCAAATTACAATACTTAACGTTTATATCTCACTAACTACAACAGTTTGCCTTAAGTACACTTAATTGTTATGTTAAATGAATGAATAGAGGGAGTAGAAGTTCACGTCTTTAGATGGTTTTTTACGTTTTAGGCTTCATGAAGTCATTTTAGGTCATTTGAGAATCTTCTTAATTTGTTTGTTCTGGTTTTTTCTCACTTTCCTTCCTGCAGTTTTTTTTTTTTTTTTTTTTTTTTTTTTTTTGGTAAAAATTGTTTACTCGGACCAGTTATTATTTTTAAAGAAATGTGGTAATCATGTGCATATTCTAATTGTGTACCAAATACATTTTAGATGTGTTCCAGTAGTTCAATGTTACAGTAGTTTTAAGCTGTGAGAAAGAAAAGCCGGCACGTGCATATGGTTCTAGTTCAACTAAATAGGCAAAATAAGCCTAAAAAGAGCAGAGCAGACTATTTGAAGATTCCTTACCTATCTTATTCTTGTTTATTTTCTGCAGATTCTCTTTGGCAACCATTTATTATGATATCTGATCACACCCGACTATGTCTTATGAAAAGGATAATGTTGTCGTTGTAAATATAATCCGGTTTACAAGTCCAGAGTCGAATCCCACAGAGAACTAAGATTTAGTTATAGTTGTTCACTTTCACCAAGAAGACAAGCTTGAACAATTTCTAACTTATAAATATTAAGATTCTTGTGTTTAACTAACTAGCTAACAAATTAACATAATAAAATAACACTAAAGATACTACAGGTTGGAGAAAAGATTAAGAAGGTCTAGAGTTATGATTTCCCCAGTTGTCGGAATCTTTCCCGCTATGTCTTATATAATTTTGCCTAAGTATTCTCTACCGATCATGAGCGCTCTGCGTGTTGTAATTCTCTCCCGAGTAATTACGACAATTTACTAGACATACTCTCTCGAGTTACGCTAGCTGGCTATAATTACAGCTCACTTAGATCGCACCCAAAGTTTCGTTATCCCTAATCCTACCTTTAAACCCTTGGTTATTGATTCCTCACATACGTCGGGAGTGATGTTGTTCAACAACTACCTAACTATGCACTCTCTCCTGAGTAATACATACTAAATAGGCACAGCTAATTGAGGGCCCTTCAATCAACCACAAGAATAATATAGTTGAACAAATAAAGAAAATATTACGGCTCAATTATATAAAAACATAACAAGAATTTATCCTACAAAAGGTTCCATCAAAACCCTAGATAACAAATTAGCTATTCATAATAGTATGTAAAACTACAATACTACAAATCATAACCAACAATAAAAAATAGGAAGAGGAAGGAAAAACTCGTAGAAGAATTCTCCGACTTGCTCCTATTGTGTCTCTACTTCCTTAGGTTGAATATGTGTCAAAAGTATGTCCAACCCCTTAAAAATACTGTTTTTTCATGTATATATACCAAGTAGCATCGGGCCAAACAATTATACCTTCTCCTACGCGAAAAAGGACAATATTTCACGTCTGGACTGCCGCGGTCCGACTGCGGTACAAACGCGGTATATGGCAGGTATACTGCCTCAGCCCGCCTCAGGTCTGCGGTCGCGATTTCGACCGCATTTTTCACCCTGTTGCGTTTAGAATTTGGAAAAACGTAAAACATGAACGTTGTAGACCTTTGATTTAGCTTTCCAAACATATATTATGGAGCCCAAATGGATTTCTGAGGAAAACGTTATGTGCATTTTACTAGATAGTGCGCAATATGCCTACTCGATTCTTCGTTTTGTTGCTCTATCAACCGTTGATCCCCGAATACGATCCCGGCTTAATTCCTTGGGTTTTTACTCAGACTTCAAAGCTCCAAATTACTTGAATTCATTCCATAACATCTATATAGCTCGGAATCACTCCTACAAGGCATAAAATACACCGTTAGTGCAAAATACTAGCGATTAAAGTGCAAACTCAACTAAAGTGCAGTAAATTTGAGTGTAATAAGCGACTAAAATACGTAATTATAGTCTATCATCAATACCCCACACTTAAACCATTGCTCATCCTCGAGCAATCAAACTACACGTTTCTATAGACACGACCTTGTTAAACAATTCTCCTAACTCATCACACCAAGAGTATTTAAAATAGAATAAGCACAAAAGTGTAATATCTTCATCTCAAGATTTGACTCACAAGTACCACACATTATTCACAACTCACTCACTTACTCTAACATAGAGGTCACTAACATTACCTTTCCTTCATGAATCAAGTGTCCTCACACAACAAAAGAGAGTAGTTCCATACAATAAAATTTAAGAACACTTAAGAACTCAAAATAGAAAGAATTCACTTACTCTCAGAAATAACATTCATATTCCACAAAAGATGCACCATAAGCTCGCCCGTAGTGTACGACTCCACTAATCGAGCTCATTCAATCTAGGATCAATTAGGACTTTATTTGTGTAATGTAGGCTACGGGACGGGTAGGATATATTTAGATATAAGAGTGCCTACACCTCCCTAAGCACTTTAATACATATACTTTAACATTCAAACCCATACTTATGTCAAACCAAAACTCCACCTTCACATCAATGTATATTACCCATACTTCTTTAAGCACAATTACAGCAAGAGTCACCACTTATTAAAGAAATACTTCTTCTTTTTTTCGCAGCAATACAACTATATTTTTTTTTTCCAATTCAAGTGGCTCTTACTTGTTCAAAACAGTGCACATTTCTCCTAATTTCATTAGTTCCACTCAAAAGCCAAACCAACCACCCCACACTTTAACTTTTACATAAATCATCATAATTCAAGTGCTCATGAGAGGTTAGAAGATTCAAATAGATGGTTAATTCAAACAAATGGGTAAGGCTTGTAATGTGGTTGCCAAAGAAACAAGATTACAGGCTCAAAAGGGTTAACTACGATACATAACAATTAGGTGGGTACACCGATCAAAGACCATTGGATAAAAGGAAAAGGAACTATATATATGGGGAAAAAGCTCAGATAAAGGGGAGGATTCATGGGAGAGAGCGAGGACGATAGAGAAAAACAAGTGGAATCTCTTCCTCATCAACAATTACCTCTCTTCCCTTTCCTTGCCCTCGTGATTATGATGTATATCTACCTTAGATGTAAGCTTATCTCTCATGTTTGATGTACGATTATTACATTAAGAAATCTCACGCGTTCTTATTATTCTCCTATTTCGCACTCTGTATATTTGGATCTGGAATCAATTATGTTTGGCTAAGATTTACCTTCTTTATTATCAATAATTATTTCGACAAAAAGGGTTTTACACATTTTATTTGAGGTTATTGTAAGAACCCATAAACTTCAAATTAAGGATCCGCTTCTAACTGTTAGCCCATAGTGCATTTTCATCCATGGATGTTAGAGAAGTAATAAACCAGAATTTTCGATGTATACTTTTTTAAGGAAATTTGTTTTTCTTATGATAGAGCCAGTGAAGGGGTATAAAGTTTGTGATTTCTAGTATAGAGTGAAGTTAAATAGGTGAAGTTAAATAGCTGTTACTTTAGTGTTATTTCCTCGTTAAAGGTTGGTGAGTTCTCAATAGTCTCGTTTGTAAATTTGTATAGTAGACTTTACTTTTTATTCCCTTGCAGTGCTTTTTAATTTTATATATCTCCTAATTCTAGCTACTGATTAAAGGTTGTCAGTCACAGAGCCCGTCTGGATTGACTTAAATTTTTTTTTTTTTAGCGGAAATAACTTTTAAGCCAAAAAAATGATAAGTTGGGATGACCTAACTTATTACTTTTTTGCTTGTTTTAGAGCTGCTTTTGTTTAAAAATACTTTTTGAAAAAATACTTTTGTAAAATAGCAATTTGTGTTTGACTAATTTGTTTGAGTAGTGCTTTTTGCAAGCTCATTGTGTTTGGCCAATCTTATTAAAAAACGTTTTTAAGTATCAAATTATGAAAAAGGACAGTAAAGGTTCGAATTTGCGATTAGTATTATTCAAGAAAAAAATAAATTAAACATTTATTATAAAAGAATTTAATTAAAATATAAAACGTAAAGTAAAAATATAAATTAAAATTTTCAATATAAAAAATATAGTTATTCCAATGTAATAACATTGAATGTTTGGTATTACTTATTGTTTACACGATAATTTAAATATATCAAAATACATCGTTCAATATAAATTTGAAATCTACTCGTAGGAATAGGAGAAAGAGAATAAAAATATGAGTAAAATAAAATAGAGAAAAAATGTATGGTTGAAATAAAAAGAAAAAGGAAAAAAAATGTTAAATTAACAAGGGATAATTTGGAGAATATAAATTTATTATAAGGTTATTTTTATTTTGAATAAATTAGTTTTCTACTTTTGCTTCTTGGAAGAATATAGAATTTATAGTTTCTCCCCAAAAACAGAAAAATTGTTTCTCCTGCTACTCAAAAGTATTTTGTTTTTTATTTTAGCCGAACATCTTAAATTTTCCAAAAAGGACTTTTTTGACAAAAAATAAAAATATTTTTGGCATCCCAAAAGCTTGGCCAAACAGGCTATTAAGCAATTTTTAACTTTGTCAAATATTGGAAAAAGCTAAAAAGAGTTTAAAATCAATTTGACCAGCTACATAAAGGGCCTAACTGTAGTTTTACCAAACTAAATAGGAGGCAATTGCAATTTATTCATCTTAAACTTAAAATGTGCTGTCGCCCA